AATCTTTTACATCACTATGGACTCATGGGTATTTGTTTTGTTGCTCAAATTGTTCTTGCTTTGGCCATTGGGAACTCTTTCTGGTTGGCATCTGTGTCCCTTTGATAAGCCCAATCCTTTTGGTTGAGCACTTCTTTACATTCCAGTATTACAAGATGCTCCTGGCCCATCTTGTGTATTCCCTGCCTAATTTCTACAAATAAACATTTCTCCAAGGAGCTTTTGCTTCTTTTATTGGAGAGTGGTATTTCCCATATTTTTCTCTTTTTTTGGCGGGGGTGGTGTGGGGGGTGGGAATTCACCATTTTAAAGTGGTTAATTCTCTCTCTCTCTCTCTCTGTGTTTTAGTATATTAACAAAATTGTGCAACCATCACAGGTAAATTTATATCTCTTTATTCATATTCACTATTAGGTGAAACCTTGTTCTCATATTTCCCTTTAGTTATTTAGATATGGTTTCCTTTGATTTTTTGAACATATTTAAAAACATTAAAAGAGCTTAGTCTTTATCTAGTAAGTCTGACATGTGGGCTCCCTCAGGGAAGGACTGTTCTTTTTTTGGTGTATGGGCTATATTTCCCTTGGATGTTGTCTTAGTGAAAACACTAGACTGCCACTTTGCTAGAAATGAAAAGAAAAAAATTTATTAAAGAATAGAATCATTTTGAAATGGGGAGACATTTACAGACATCCATGCAAGATGCTGCAATGCTCTGCATTTCAGGGAGAATAGTAAGTGTTAAAAAGGTATAACAACAAAGGACTTGTAGGGGAGGGAGAGAAAGCATGGCAAAAGTTACAAATGATATGTTGAACTACAAGTTTAAACAGTATCAGTAAGCTAATTTGTTGCATTCTAAGGTTGTTACATTCTGAGCATTGTTTAACAAAGCATTGTTTTAGGGGCTAATTTTCTGTCACCTCTGCAATCTATTTTACTAAACTTAGTTTCTACTTTAGTTATAAATTTACCAAGGGCTAATAGGAACACAGTGTAAAGTCCCAGTGAGCAAAATTTTAATCTGGGAATCAGGATGTGTACTAAGACTTGATATATACCTATCTTTGCCACAAAGCTATTTACAAGGTCTAACTTCATTTAACAATACCAGTTCTACTGTGACCACCAGAATAACATTAGGAAATGGGAGGACACTGAATTGTGCACATAAGAGATAGACGACAGATGCTAAGACCAACTATTGTGTCCACAATACTGCTTTATCGTTAACACCAAACACCTGAGAGGATCAGATGGCGGTCAGTGAACAGGAGTAAACTCTAGACCAAGGATAGATTCAGCTGAGGCTAATCTTGCACAGACTAACCAGTGATAACAAAATACCTGTAATCATTACAGAAACAATAGAAGACAGACACAGAGTAATCCGTCACAGACACGCAGACGCTATGGGAGAGAGATCCAATAGATCTACTGGCTCAGGACACTGGGGGACACCAGACTCAATTGGCACAACAAGATACATGAAAATTTTGTTCCGCATCCTACATTGGTGAGTAGCAACTGGGATCTTAAAAGCTTTCAAGCAGCCATCTAAGATGCAGCTAACAGTCTCTTAGCGTTGGAAGCGAAGAAGAATGCAAATAAACAAAACAAAACAAGGGCATTTGGAAGCAATCAGCCATAGGACATGATGGCCCTCGAGACCAGAAGAACTGGATGGTGCCCGGCTACCAATGCCAACCACTCAGGAAAGGATCAAATCTGGAGATCCTGGATAGAGTGGGAGGAAAAACGTGGAACAAAATCCAAAAACTCAATAATGACTGGAATTACTGGTCAGAAGAAGTCTGATGAGACCCCCAATATATGGCCCTGGAATACATTCTGCACCTGGAATAAAACTCACCCCCAGGGGCTGGCTCTCAGCCCAAGAGTTAACAAGATGTACATGCAGACCACTCAACACAGGATGACTCACCCACATACTCTATGGTAATACATCCCTTAGAGCAATGGACCACAGGGCACCAGAGGCCCAACATTCTGGTTGAGGAAATGTGGGACAAACAGGAGTGCATAAATATGAGGAGCACAGGGGGAGGGGTACAGGGCAGGGAGGGGAGGAGACTGGGTTAGGGCTGCACACGGTAGATGGGGAGTGAAACTAAATGTACACATAATGTTGAATGTAAAGCAAGCTTTTAAAATTAAAAAAAAGAAAAAAGATTACAGCCTAAAAAGAAAAAGAAAACAATACCAATTCTACTTCTCATCCTCTTGCTTACCAAGGCACCCCCTCTGGGGCCAGCTGCACAAACACTCTTAACAGACACTAAATAACCCTTTATCTTAGGTTAGAAATCTTGACTTTACCCTTCTTTGGTTTTCAAACAGTAAAACTTTGACAAAAAAGTGAACAGTTTCTTTAGAAAAATAGAAATGAAAATCTGAGTTAAATTCAATATGGAGTTTTTATTTAGGTCTGAAGTCACCCAGTTCAGATATGTCAGTACCTCAGTTTTGGGGTTTTTTGTTTTTGTTTAAGATTAACATCCACAGAGTTTACATGTCTTTCTTTTTAGTCTCAATTTTTTTTTTCTTGAAAATTAGACATTTAAGATGATATAATATGGCACTTCTAGAAATTAGATTCTCCCAGGGTTTGTTATTGTCTTTGTGTGTTGTTGTTTAGTGCCTTTTCTGAACTAATTTAGAAAAGTCTATATTTTTTGTCTTGTATAGCCACTAAAGTTGCTAGTCAGCTTGTTGTTGTTGTTGTTGTTTGCCGTCGAGTCGGCCCCAACTCATAGCGACCCCTCCTTGGGTTTCCGAGGCAGTATCACTACGGAAGTAGGATTGCCCAACCTTCCTTCCGAGGAGTGGCTTAGTAATCAACTAATGATTAGACTGAGATTTCTTTAAAGCCTGCAACCAGTGAGTCTGCTGGTTTTTACTGAGGGCTCTATGTCTCTGTTGCAGCACACCTTCAGCCCTCAGCCAGGCAGTTGGTAACTTTGTCTTATTTTTTATTTCTTGCTTGTGCAGAGTCTCCAAGTCAGCCAGAGGTGAAAGCTAAGGGTCTTCTCAGGTCTTTTCTGAGGTGAGCACAGTCCTGTGTAGGTGTACAGACATGTGCATGTGTGTGGACTTTTGGATTCGCAGGACTATGTTGGAGATTTTCAAAGCACTTTGTGGATATCTAATCTCAAAGCTTTTCCTTTTAAGCTTTACTCCACCGGTTATCCACTGCCTCTAGCAGCTGTGGTGGAAGGTTAAACAACTGCCACTTATTGTTTTTGAACATGCCTGAGGGAAAGAACTATTTGCATTGGATGAGCTGTGATTCTGGTCAAATAAAGACAAGCCTTTTCAGTAAGGTCTTCTTGGGAACCACCAGATAGGTCGAATAATGACCAGTTTCTGGGAAGGAGTCTCTGAAGGAACCCATTTTGTCCTCTGCAGTGACTGCCAGGCTGCTGTTTTTCCCTGTATTATGAACTATTGGTCGTCAAGGCTACTGTGGAACTGAGAGGAAAGGGATGGAAATAGTGCAAGTTACAGCACCAAAACCTGGCTGTTCCTAAGTATTTGTATCCTTAAATACATGAATATAATGAATTGCATTAATAGATCATCTAATATTGAACTACTTTAGCATTACTGGAATGCCCTTTGTGGGAATCTCAATATAAAGAAAACAAAACTCCTCACAACTGGACCTATAAGCAGCATCACAATAAATGGAGAAAAGATTGAAGTTGTCAAAGATTTCACATTTCTTGGTCCTACAATCAACACCAATGGAAGCAGCAGTCAAGAAATCAGACAACGTATTGCACTGGGTAAATCTGCTGCAAAAGACCTCTTTAAAGTGCTGAAGAACAAAGATGTTTCTTTGAAGATTAAGGTGCACCTAACCCAAGCCATAGTGTTTTCAATCCTCATATGTGGTTCAAACCCACGAGCCACTCCTCGGAAGGAAGATTGGGCAATCTACTTCTGTAGTGATACTGCCTGGGAAACCCAAGGAGGGGTCGCTATGAGTCAAGAATGACTCCATAGCAGTGGGTTTGGTTTGTTTTTTATATGCATGTGAAAGCTGGTCAATGAATAAGGAAGACTGAAGAAGAGTTGATGCTTTTGAGTTTTGGTGTTGGCTAAGTACCCCGGAAGGAAGATGGGGCAATCTACTTCCGTAGTGATACTGCCTGGGAAATCCAAGGAGGGGTCACTATAAGTCGGGTCTGACTCGATGGCACATAACAACAACAACAACAACAAGAACAAGTACCACGTACTGCCAGGAGAACCTACAAATCTGTCCT